GATGATAATTTTTTAAACACACATTGCTATACAATTAATGTGTCAAATACACCTTCCAGTTTGACCTCATCAACCAATTATTAATCAATAAAATCTATTCCTAGCCTCAAAATTATATAAACTCTCATATATGTACTAAATATAAACTAAATCCTTAAGGGGTGGATGACTTGTTAACATAACTGATGGTTACGCGCAGTTTTTCACATAATTACCATATGAGAAATTCCTAGAATAATTTATTTTTTTGTTCAAAACTATATATTATATTTGCTGTTCAGAAGAGAATCAATTGCGTAAATTAAGAATTGTGAAATATTTATATTCAAGCCCAAACATATAACGCAGTTTGAGAATAATTTAAATAAAAAGAACACGCGCCGTTTGCTCGCTCGCTTTCGCGTCTCTGCCGAAGGTTGTTTTCGCTCATTCGCTCGTGGATTTCATTTTAGTCCAACTTTTTAGAGTCTTTTATGTAGCGGAGAGGAGAGAGAGAGGCGCCTGACTTTCAGCTCTGGTGGACTGTGCCTCAACCATTTATATAAAGTTCCCCTTGCTGGCTGTGCCGCTCGCTCTGACATGCTGTAATATATAAGCCGCCCCTACCGTGGCACAGAATAAAAATAGGTATATTTTTCTTTTTAATATGGTTTTTTACTTCGGCTGCAAAGTCGACGCCAAGTGGAACTAAAAAAAATATACAATTTTTACTAGCAAACAAGGTCCGCGCATCAGCAACAATGAAAAAATATTTGATTGTTGTTTGAGCTCTCTGATTGGGTACAAGTAAAGTTGTACCCAATCAGAGAGCTCGACAACAATTGAAATTTTCTGACGAGCGGACCTTGCTAGCAAAAGACAATACAATTTTTTCTTACAAAATAAACAATTTATTGAGTAAAAAAAACTTCTCTTTTGATGATGATTAAAAATTAAGTTTTTGAGTAGCTATGAAAAGTGACATTTGTTAAATTGATGGAAAATCTTTGAAATGTATCAATTGGAACGTTTTTCATTTGACTTTTGCAAAATTCCAAGGTTCTCTCCCTGATTATCAAGTGGAATGGAGCCCGCATTTGAGCGAACGCAGTTTCCTCGTCGTCCCCATAAAAACACACTCGGCTGACGTCATCGCAGAGAAATGAAGTTCTGCAACCCCTGCTGCCACCGCTGGGGCGTGGGCAAAACTGATAGAACCAAAAAAGAAGACCGAGGGAGGGAAAATTTAATGCCCTCGTGGAGCAGAGAGAGAAAGAGAGCGGGATGATGAATTATGAGCCTTTCCCGTTTTTATCAGCGTCTCTCGCTCTTTGTGGAATTAAAACCGACTGTTGAAAATTTCTGCTTTGCATTTTATTTATATAATAAATAGTTCACAAATAATGTCTTCAGGTTGATAAGGTTTATCGAGACGAAAAGCGAGTGACGGGCTCAACACGTCCATTGACGTCACATTTGGAAATTTGTGTATGTGTGCGTCTCATTGCGCGGCGCTTATACATGCACATCATCAGGTTTGCGACTGTCGGCCGCCTGGCTCTCTTGCAAAGAGAAGAGGAAAATATAAAAATCAGCGGCGTCCTCTCTTCTCTCTCTCTCTGATAAATTTTCCTCCACTCTTTCCGTTGTTATGCCCTGACAACAGCGAAGAGCAGGCGAACGTTAAGGGCGCATGGCTGGTGCAGCTTTTCCGACGAGGCGATTTCCCAGCGCGCTCATTGGCCGCCGCTGATCAAACTCGTAAAGTAGTCGGCCAATCGGGTGCAGGCGCCGGCTTTTCCTCCCTTCACATGTAATAAATATTTTGCTCCCTTTTGCCATTCTGTTCTCCAGCAGTTGGAAATTACATGGGAAACAACACAAGCGAGAGCCGGCAGCCCTTTTTCGCAAAACTCTTCCACCAGCTCCCTCCCTGCGCCTGCCACAGAGAGAGAGAGAGAGCAAAGTCTAGTTTTGCGTCGCTCCTCTCAGGAGCAGCAGCTCCGAAATTGCCACCATAAATGCAGGCAAAATGTGCTTCGTTCGGTGGTGATGGGCACAAGCCGATTGAATTGAATTTGCCGGTTTTCACTCTCACAGCGGTTCAAAATATCGTTTGGGCTCCAAAAATTACCTGAGAGCAAGATCCAGTGAATTCTTAATTCTGAGAATACAATGTTTCAAATTTTCAACATGAAATTAAAAAATAAATTTTATAAATCTATTGCTTCAAAGTTTGGTCAATTCTAAAAGAAAAGAAAATATGGAATTTTAAAAACGGATGACTCTTTCGCTAAAAAGTTTTGGATTTTTCGTTTCATTTTCTGCATTTCCACAATTCATGTTTGCCGCATCAAATGAATGGTTTCTCATTGGCACATAAATTCTTTCCTAGCATATATTTGCAAATTGTTAATGTGCGACCTGATTCCAATTAAAATTTCCATCTAAGTGCTCTGTTCGCCTCTCTGACAAAAGAGGGAAAAACCAACAGGCAACAATAAACGTAACGAGAGCGCGTCAGACTGGTGCTGGTGCAAGAGAGGGAATATAATCGAGAGAGCTGCGAGCGCGCAGGGAAATAAAAATTCAAAGGCGCCACAGTTTGAAGAATCGATGGATTTACCGAGTAATAGTACCAACATTGCACCTCGCGCTCCGGTTGGCCCGAAGCGGCCGAATCCGGTTCCGGGTCGCGTGACCCGGTGCGGATTTCGGTTGAACCGATCCGGGGCGAACCGAGTTTGAGTCCGGTCGTGGAAAATCGACCGGTTTTTGTTACAAAAGTGGAGGTTTGCTGGTGGTTCGCCTGGGAGCAGCGGAGCCGAGCGGTCGGATCGTCAGTTGGCAGCACGGAGGAGCAATGCTCGGGCATGGGGCGCCGATCAATGCTCGGCTGGCGCGGCCGGGGCTCCACCGGCCGCACCGCGGCTATACATGCAGCTGCAAGGCGATAACAACGCGCCGAGCGAGGCACTATACATACGAAGGGAAAATGCCAAAGACTTGACTGGCGCGAACTCATGTTCCAAGTTTAAAGCCCACACTTACTCTCTCTCCATCCCGGGCCCCACATTAGCCGCGTGCCCGCGGAAAGCGCGCGCCGCAATTTTCCTTGCCGAAATCCACCCGGGAAATTCTCAATTCCCAAAAACCATCCTTATCAGTTAAAACTCGAACAAATTCAGTTTTCTTAAGTACTCCATTTCCAGTTCGCGCCTGTGTTAAAATAACTTATAAATCATATGATAGGGGCCGATGCTTTTGCCTCGAGTTCAAACGGAATTTTTGTCTTCTTGTCTTTCTTTGGTTTCAGAGTTGAATTTCCAACCCTATATCTGGGGGTTTCGCAACGCCGGAGCCGGTTGCAAAAAAGAGAGGCCACTTTTTGCAACAAAAAATGGGCTGACGTCGTAGCGAGTTCCACCCTTGGCCGCCGCGGAGAGCAGCGCTGCCTTCGCCGCGATTGTCTCGTCCGTACAGCAAAGAGCGTCGCGCTCGTGGGTTTTTCTGCCCTTGCTGAATTTCCAATCTACCTCATCTGCCGCACAAAACGCGTCCGCTCGCCAAAGGCTGATACGACCGAGACGTTCAAAGACTTCGGTGAAATTTTGCACAGTTAAATTTGTTGAAAAATTTATTTTATGATAATCGTTCCTTACATTTGTGGAGGAATGAGGTTGATTTGTTTTAATCTTTAATGCATTTAATTAACGCACACTAAAAAAAAAGTAATTTCAGGGATGTCAACGCGCGGGGGTTTAATTATAAAACAGAACAAGTATTTATCAACACCTTTCATCCCTGTAACAAAAAGAATTCGAATAAATATTTTTTTTTTGGGTTAAATTTAATATTATGAATAGAAAAATGTTATAAATATTACAATACTTAATTTGAAATCTGTGTAGGAGGTGCTCTGGTTGCAAAAATAGATCCGATCAATGATTGGCAATGAAAAGAAATTTATTTTATTTTCTCCTTTAAAATAATTTTTCATATAAAGGACATTTTAGCGTCTACTTAAGAGAAAATTGTTACAAACAATATATTGATAAGGAAATTGAAATAAATTTGACCTATTCAAAATAATTGTCTTGTCCTAAAAATTACTGGAAAATTCTGCGAGGAACGTTTGGGGATGGCAGTGTGCGGCCGGTTTTGCTGGTTGCGTGCACCACGGAGGTCACTTCTCAGTCTCGCTCCGACCTTGCCCGCCTCCAAGCCTCACTTCTCGGCCGCAAGCCCTAGCGCTGTTGGAGCGGCGAGGTCACACACTCGTTGCAGCTCTGGGTGTTTTTTTGAACGCGGCCGAGAATGAGGCGCAAAAAGAGGAAATATTCAAAATAAGAGAAGTTAAGCTGACATAGGGAAACGTGTAAACTTTGTGTTTTAATGTTTCACGTTTCTAGAATGTTGGAAAATCTTTTATTATTTCAAAGTCATGAATTATGCAAATATTTGTTATTTTGAAAAATTTCCAAGCGACGACGAATCGCAACAATAAATTTATTTAAATAAATTTAAACTCAAATCATATTCTAGAATGACTGGAATAAGAAATTAGGTGGAACAAACAAAATATATGTGCCATGTAATTTAACTCTCAGCAATATGATCAATATAGTTTTTTTATAATAATATGAACACACATCTTTTATTTTAGACACATCAAAAAGTAAACGCAAAAAGGAATTATTTAAAAATGGATTTTTTCCGCTAAATATAATTGATTTGGAGACAAATCCATAATTACATGAATAAGATTAATTATTCTCTCAGACTTGGATAAGAACAAATTGAGGGCACAGCTGCTTTTTTTATGAAAAGCCGTGGCCAACTTTGAAGTGTTCTTTATTAAGTTCACCGAGTTTGGTCCAGATCGCAGCACATGCTGGTCGTTCAAGTCTCGGGAAAACCACGCGTTCAAGTCTCTTGTTCGACGGTTGCAATAGTTAGGCAATCCGCTTGACGTAAAAGTCGAGCGGGTTGCCGCGAAATGAAACGCAGGCGCTTTCAACAATTAATCGCGTCTTTATTTTGCCAATGTCGCGACACACTTAAATTGCGGAAAACAATCCAGGTGAAAACAAGCGATTTTCTGCCGCTGGCAAATTTCGTCCGTCCATAGAATTAATTTAACACAGTAATGAATCAATCAATTCATAACAACAATCATTCCGCAATGATTTCGATTCGTTTGATCTCGCCGAGTTCGCAACAACGCCATCGATCGTGTCGTTTCCTTGAGCATACATCAATAATATGTCTTGGTTTTCTGCACATCTATATAGTTAGTTGTAGTACAGCAGTACATAGCGAAGTTTTGTCTACATACTTTTGAGTATGGTCCCCGCACACAGGAGGAGGTTTGTCGGGGAGTTTTATAATAATTTCTGCGTAATTCTGGGGTTTGGAGGGGCCCACCGATTAGAACTCCACATTAAAAATTAATTGGCCAAAGTTCGAGGGGCATAGAACAAGATTAAAAGTTAAGAAACGTCCTTGTTTTTCATGGCATACAATGTCATTTTTTTTTTTCAAATAATTCTTGGAACGTTTAAATCTCTTTTTATGCTTGTTTGAAAATATAGGAAAATCGTCGGTTTCTTGGTGTCAAATAGCAAGGTATTTTCCACCCACTCTTCTGTCGTTTTTGGCTCTCGATTTACGTGCAATATAATATTATTTTTTTTTTCATCGTATCTCACTCATCCAAAAACGGGCATGAGCAAAACACTCACAAAGAGAGAGTATTATTTGTATTGATCATCAACTGAGTGACGTAGAGTCCTTACAACTTTGATAGAAACCAGCTAGGGCTCAGGATATGCTGACCTCTATGTCTGCGGAAAGAACACTACATATCTCGTTTTGAGTCTCTTATTTTCCAAAATATTTTCACATACCTTTTTTTTTGTACATAACAAATATTATACATACTCTTGACACATTTGTACGTGCAGTCGGATAGAAATTCGCATTAGAGATTAACGGCAACAACAACACTTATGCCCCACAAATATACACAAATGCTGGAGATAGTTTTAAATTTCTTTTAAACGTTTGATAAAAACTTGTTCGTCAACGCAGTTGGCTCTAAAATCTAGACCGGTTGACTAGACAGCACGATAAGTCAACACTTACCACTAGTTTTATTTACAATTTTGCATCGATAAATAATTTTTTACGTTTTATTCCCTGTTTTTTTTGACACGTTTTCGAAGCAGCAAAAAGTTGCCGCACAGACACACATATTCAAAGTTGAAGCAAGAAAATGTGTTAAAGCTAAAACCAAAGTTTGTCTCTTTCTGTTTAAAAACACGCGCTGACTCGTCAAAGAGGGAAATGTTACGGCGTGAAAACAATTTATACTCTTTCTTCCTCTTTACAAAACTAGCAGATTTTTACACGTTTGTCCGAGCCGAAGAGTCTGCCCGATTAAAATATATCACAGCACATTTCAGGGTTAGCCTAACTCTGCGTCAGCCCTCGTACAAATAGTAAACTCTTTTCTCGCGGGTGGTGAAATTAATTATTTCTCTTAAAAAACAGTTTTGGCAGTTGATGCCGAGTTGTTAAAACTTTTTCAGATATATTTAATAACATTTGGGGGGTGAACAAAGCAAAACGGTAGAACATTATTTTGTCCACCGTCAAAGTCTTCGACGCCGCTTTTCCCAAGTTTGAGTATTTTAGGAATTTCTCTCTTTCTTTTTGTCTGGTAAATATGACGCACTTGTTGGTTATTTTCACGCATATGTTTAGAGTTTGTCACACTGAACGGAACAAGTGTCCTCTCTACACGTATTTTTTGACGTCACTGACAACAGTGACGTTCAACAGGTTCATTAGCTAAAGGTCAGTCTCTTGAAGGGGCCTGTCAACGGCCTGCGCGTACTGCTACAAAGTCAAATCAGTTTTGCATTGATCGTCCGCAGCCGCTGCAGAGTTAGGCTGAGAATTATTACTTACTGGTCCGTTGCCCAGCACCGTGTGCGCCGTCGAGTTGTTGATCGTCACGTGCTTCTCCGCCGGCGCAACCTTCTCCGGCACCCCGTTGTTCACGTTGTTGACGCAGTTGAGCGTCTGCGTGCCGCGCGTCGTCACCTGCTTGCACGCGTGATTGTTTTGGCCCACTGAAAAAAAATAACAGATAAGACTTCAGAGACGAGTTGGGAAAATTGCAGCAGTTCCATTTGTTATGTCATATTTAATATAATAATCAACAATTTATTATCAAATTTCTATTTTTAATGATAAGATATAGTGAGCTTAAGACCGAAAAATGTAATTTTAATCACTTTTAATCTGCTTAATATAGAAACAATAGTTTATGCAAATGATTATTCATAAAATCTAATAATAAATGTTATAATGAATATATTTTTTATATCTACTGCTAATTGCAGCTAATTGTGTGTAAAATTAAACAAAATAACAAAAAATGGAAATAATGAACAAAATAAATTAATTTAAATGAAGATACATTGGAATTTTTAAAACAGTTATCAAAAAATGTAAATTAAAGTTTATATAATACATATTTTTAAATTTACATTAGTATGTTTCTTTTTAAATTCAAGCAGCTTACGTAAAAAAAATAATTTTTGAATATCTATGAAGCATATATGTGGGCAAACAGCAACAAATTTATCGATTCAAGAAGTAATGGGGGAGATTCAATAGACTTAGCTCTCCCGGGATAAAAGATATCCCACGATAAATCCAAAGGGATAAAATTATCAGAATTTTGTGAGGATCATGGAAATGAGGGCAAAATTGAAATCCAAAGCTAACACAAAAATCTGTATCTAACTTAATTTAAAATTGCTTATTTATTTTGCCCAGAAATTTCTAAAGACCTCTTCATCAAAGCGAAATAATACAAGGATTAATTCTTTTGAAATTTTGTGCACGTAAACTTTCTCAACTCTAAAAAATTAAAATTCTGAAGCTTATTTTTTTATTTGTAGATAAATGAAATTCGCTAAATAATTTTTAATTACAATTAACAAATAAAAATTAAAAAAATTAGTGAGCGTGAAAAAGAAAAAAAAAAATTACTTTTCTTTCATCTTAAAAGTGTTTTCCAAATATTTAAATGCCTTTTCGTCAAAGTTAATTTGGGCAAATAAATATTTTTCTTATGGCTATCAAATCAAGTATTGAACCAGTGGCTGGCTACGGCTGCCGGCTGTCAGAAGTGCAACTGCAATTAACACTCAGCCAATGCGAAGAAAATGTTTGATTTTTTTTATTTATTTATTACTAGCGGCTGACCTTTTTGTTTAAAAATTGACAGCAAGGTCAGCTGGTTCAACAGTCAAAATAGTTGATGGCTTATTCATGGTAAAATTGTTGGGATGTTTAAGCAAGGTGGTATGAAGGGAGAACGAGCTTTGCGTGTTTTAGCGCATTTTGGGAGTCGTTTGGGAGTCGTTTGAGAGTCGAAAACGACTCCAAGTTGACTACAAAACGACTGCAAGCGACTCCAAGTTGACTACAAACTCACTACAAAACGACTGCAAGCGACTCCAAGTTGACTACAAACTCACTACAAAACGACTGCAAGCGACTCCAAGTTGACTACAAACTCACTACAAAACGACTGCAAGCGACTCCAAGTTGACTACAAACTCACTACAAAACGACTGCAAGCGACTCCAAGTTGACTACAAACTCACTACAAAACGACTGCAAGCGACTCCAAGTTGACTACAAACTCACTACAAAACGACTGCAAGCGACTCCAAGTTGACTACAAACTCACTACAAAACGACTGCAAGCGACTCCAAGTTGACTACAAACTCACTACAAAACGACTGCAAGCGACTCCAAGTTGACTACAAACTCACTACAAAACGACTGCAAGCGACTCCAAGTTGACTACAAACTCACTACAAAACGACTGCAAGCGACTCCAAGTTGACTACAAACTCACTACAAAACGGCTGCAAGCGACTCCAAGTTGACTACAAACTCACTACAAAACGACTGCAAGCGACTCCAAGTTGACTACAAACTCACTACAAAACGACTGCAAGCGACTCCAAGTTGACTACAAACTCACTACAAAACGACTGCAAGCGACTCCAAGTTGACTACAAACTCACTACAAAACGACTGCAAGCGACTCCAAGTTGACTACAAACTCACTACAAAACGACTGCAAGCGACTCCAAGTTGACTACAAACTCACTACAAAACGACTGCAAGCGACTCCAAGTTGACTACAAACTCACTACAAAACGACTGCAAGCGACTCCAAGTTGACTACAAACTCACTACAAAACGACTGCAAGCGACTCCAAGTTGACTACAAACTCACTACAAAACGACTGCAAGCGACTCCAAGTTGACTACAAACTCACTACAAAACGACTGCAAGCGACTCCAAGTTGACTACAAACTCACTACAAAACGACTACCAAACGACTCCCAAACAACACCAAAAATGCGCTAAAACACGCAAAGCTCGTTCTCCCTTCATATTTATATACCACCTTGCTTGAACATCCCAACAATTTTACCATGAAAAGCCGTCAACTATTTCAACTGTTGAACCAGCTGACCTTGCTGTCAATTTTTAAACAAAAAGGTCAGCCGCTAGTAATAAATAAGTAAAATAAAATCATTTTCTTGAAGTGCTCATATGAGCACCTCATATGAGCACCTCGAATGAGCACCTCATATCAGGTGCACATATGAGCACCTCATATCAGGTGCACATATGAGCACCTCTTTTGAGCACCTCATATCAGGTGCACATATGAGCACCTAAAATGAGCACCTCATATCAGGTGAACATATGAGCACCTCATTTGAGCACCTCATATCAGGTGCACATTTGAGCACCTCAAATGAGCTGCACATGTTCATTGCAGTTGCACTTTTGACAGCCGGCAGCTGTAGCCAGTCAGTCAGTCACTGGTTCAATACTTGATTTGATAGCCATAAGAAAAAGATTTATTTGCCCACATTAACTTTGACGAAAATGTCTTTAAATACTTAGAAAACACTTAAGATGAAAGAAAAGCAAATTCGTTTTTCTTATACTTTTTCACGTTCACTAATTTTTTTTCCTTTTTTTATTTGTTAAATGTAATAAAAAAAAATTACCGAATTTAATTTATCTACAAATAAAAAAATAACTTTGAGAATTTTAACTTTTCAGACTTGAGAAATTTTACGTGCACAAAATTTCAAAAGAAAAAAATCCTTGTATTATTTCGCTTTGATGAAGAGGTCTTTAGAAATTTCTGAGCAAAATAAATAAGCAATTTTAAATTAAGTTCGATACAGAATTTCGTGTTAGCTTTGGATTTCAATTTTGCCCTAATTTCCATCATCCTCACAAAATTCTGATTTGAAAAAGTTTTTTGTTCATTGCAATTAGCCAAAATCTAAAAAGTTTGCGAGCATGTTGACGATATTTTAATCATTTTAATTACCAGCTGATTTGATTTTATCGCGGGTTAAATATTTATCCCGTAGAGGGGGCTAAGAAAAGATAATTATCCCTCAATGACTTGGGGACAAAAAATTGAAGGCGGGACAAAAAATATTTAACCTGGGACAGTGGTATAAATTTTATCGCTTTGGATTTATCCCGGGATATCTTTTATCCCGGGAGAGCTAAGTCTATTGAATCTCCTTCAATGATTCTTTTTGATTTTAAATAATTAATAAGTGCATAATATATCTATAATTTCTTCGATTTTCTTGATCAAAACAAAATATTAGTGGGGGAGATTTAAAAGACTTTTTCAAATCAGAATTTTTTGAGGATCATGTAGATGAGAACATAGATGAAAACCAAAGCTAATAAAAAAATCTGTATCTAACAAATTGCTTATTTATTTTGCCCAGAAACATTTAAAGATGTATTCATCAAAGCAAAAATAGACACGCAGCCCGCACGCAGCCCGAACGCAGCTTATTAATTTTGCTTAAGTTAATGTGCTAAATTATAAAATAATTAAATATTGCCAATTAAAATTTTGTTACTATTAAATAAAACTAATTCTATGAAATAAGTTTTAAACAAAACTATACTTTTAAATAAATGATTTTATTTTAAAATTATACTAATTCCCATACACTTTATTTTAAAATAAAGTTAAAACTTGAAATAAGATAATAATTTGAAATGAAGTAACAATGAAGTGAGACTGACCCTCGCTGTGCGATCCAGAGTCCATGCCATGGTTGGGCGGGAGGACGCCGAGGAGGTTTCCGGCGCCGACGACCGAGCTGGTGACGCCGGCGGGGCCGCTGACGCTCTGCTGGCGGACGCCGCGGACGGCCGAGTAGCGCACGGGCATCATGCTCTGGCGCACGTTTCGCTCCGGCCGCACCAGGATGATGTACAGCTTGGGCGTGAACAGACACGCCACGGTCACCGTGGCGCTCATCGAGATGGTCACGCTCATGCTGGTGATGCGGATGGCGATGTTGTTGGCCGTGCTGAAGTAAATCGGCACGAACGCCAGCCAGATGACGCACGTCGTGTACATCGTGAAGCCGATGTACTTGGACTCGTTGAACGCCTCGGGGATCTTGCGCGTCAGCACGGCGTACACCGTGCAAATCACAATCAGCACTATTGGGTAGCTGCAATTTATTCACATTTAAAACATTCCAAAAATTTAGCAGAAAGCATTAATTTTGATGAAAAGACGCGAATATAAATAATTTTAAATGCAATGATTATGATTTATTTAAATATCTAGCATAATTCAAACAATAGTTGAATGAAAGGTAGCAATTATTTCAATCAATCTATATATTAAATATATATATTAATTTTCATTATCTCATCAAAAACTGAATAAAAAATATTACAAAATTAAATTTAATTATATAAACAAGCAAATTTGTGTGTTAATTATTTTTAATTTTAAACAGAAAATAGGTCAATAATTTCATTGAAGATTTATTACAACAAGAATCACAAGATTTAAATTTAAAATATATTAATGTATTAAAAATTAAATTATTTCAGTTAAATAGTTAATATTTTCACAAAATAAATTGGAAAATTCAGCTCTTAAAATTTATTTTAGCTTCATCAACATCTAAATTAGAGGACAATCGGCAGATTTAATTTTCCTTTACCTGAACGAAATCATGTAGGAAGCGTTGATGCTTGATGAGCAAACCAAGAGATTGTCGTCTCTGGTGGGGTAGTGATGAATTGCCGACGGAGGCGAAACCACCATCCAAACAGCATTAATTAGTACCTGCAAAGCAAAAAATTATTAACCTCAAGCAAACAAACACAGCCCGCGTGAGAATCCCAATTAATCTTTTTTAACAAGTACAATTTTATCTTTTCGTTCTCTTAAAAAATGACAAAATTTGAAAATAAATTATAAAAAGCCACACATAAATCTAATAATCCTAATAAATTAAATACAATTGAGTAAAATAAAATAAATAGATTATCTTTATAAAGGCTTTTAATTATTAATAAAACTTTTAGTTTTAAATATTATACACGGGTACTTTTGATTGCCCGTTTATCAAACCCTGCTCATCAGCTCTGTTATGTTGGCCAAAAAAAAGATGTCTACCTCCCAGAGCCATAAGGCCCCATGGCTCTGACGGCAGCCGTGTACCAACATAATTTCGGGACGAGCAGGGTTTGCCGTTTATGAACTAACCCTCTAGGCATAGTTTCAGTAAATAGTAAGACTTCCTATTGATAATTGCACTGGCAAATTCTTAATTTTAACTTTTCTCTTCACAAAATCTTTTCGTTTCAATTGAGTATACGCTCATCGAATAATTTATTTCAAATTTTGACCTAAATATTTATAGTTTCAAAAATTTTAGAATTGAAAGTATTTGTATTTTTTGCGCTGCAACTGTAGCAATATATTAAATTTGATAAATTTCCTCTTCTGAAATTCCGTGAAATTTTCAATGAACTTTGGAAATTCCACTTGGAAATTAGAATAACGCAGCGAGCACCACTGGAGTTGTGTTTGTTTCGCAAACATCACCAAAGTGCCTCGGGTTATTAGTAAAGTTTGCCGGCGGCGGCGGCGGCGGCAAAACAAATAGCCCTTTGCTTATTTCATCTGGGCGATTGAGAGCTGCATTATTTCAGACGTTTGTGAGTCCGTCTGACAAATTGGCCGTGTAGTTAAGGGGCTGTTTGCTCAGCCATCCTCACTACACACCCTCTGCAAATCCCATTAGCAGTTGGTCCTTGCTCACCTGAAACCCTGTGAGCCCCGAGCAAATGATGAGCTGCGATCTGGGCGAAATTAAACTAGGCCGCTTCGCCGTCCGTTTGCCGGCGTTGAAAATCCTCGATATCCTATTTGTCTTGGTCAGCAGTGCCGCGTACACCACCGTGAAGGAGAAACCAGCTCCAAATCTGAAATATAGAAGGCAATTATTTTTTGGCTAAAGAAAACAAAAAATATTCACAGAAAGCAAAAGAAACGCAAGAATCATTGAAAATGTGTTTATTGGGATTAATTGATAGTTTTTTTTTTTAAGTTTTCTTTCTAATATTTGCTAATATTTTCTAATAATTGTAATTATTTGCATAGGTTTTTCATTTCTTTGGAAATAAATTGCTATATAAAAATTAAAATTAGAAATTTTTAAAAATTTATCCATTGATGTAATGTATTGATTTGTAAAGAACTGGAATTCCATATTAAAAAAATTAATAATGAAGGATTATAGCTCACAAAAAAGGAAAAGGACGAATTCAACACTTTTTAAAATTTGTTTCCAAATTTTATAAAATTGAATGAATGGTCAAAACAAAATTACTATATCAATTCCACATTTTAAGTTTAATTTGGTAAATAAAAATTGTGTATACCTCTGAGCGCCGCAGACGATGTCGCTGGGTTTGAGCACCAGGATGAAGGTCATGGCGTAGCAGAGGAAGATGCCGAGCAGGAGGATGTAGCTGAGCTCGCGGCCCGAGGCGCGCACCACGGGCGTGTCGTGGTGTCGGAGGAAGACGCCGGCCACCAGCGCCGTCACCACGATGCCCGTCGCCGAAAAGGCCATGGCGCCGATCGCCCAGCCGCTGTCCGCGCGCAAATACTCCTCAGGGATGGGCTCGCACTTGGTGTGCCGCTCGTCCGGCACCGTGCCCTGCGGACACAACTGGCACTGCGTCTCGTCGTGCGGGTGCCGAATCTGAATTAGAAAAAAACACAATAAAATTTTGAATCCTTTTTTTCAGAAGGAACATTAAAAATAAAAAATGAAAACAAGCAGATAAAATGATTTTCTTAAAGTTCAGAATTAATGTCGGATTTTCAAAAGTACCTTTAAAACAGTTGGCAAAGGAATTCAATGATAATAATGATACCTGCAGGTGAAACAACTTTAAATTTAAAAATTGATTTTTCGTTGGGCCTGACACGGCCTCTTTAAGACGGCCTGTGTGCCGAGTTTGTTCATCATTAAATCCAGCGCAGCCGAGACGAAAATGAGGGAGCAAGTGGGGCAGCGCAAAAGTGGCGGGTGTGAAAAGTTGGCTTTCTTTCTCTCACCTGGTATTGAGTGCAGTTAAAGCAGTGCCAGCAGCAGCTCTCGCCCTCCAAGTACTTTTTCGCCTGGCCTAGTTCGCACTCGAGCGAGCAAACAGACACCGGCGACTGTGGCTGGCCCAGTTTGAACTGAATCTCTGCAAAAATAAAACACAAATTTATGCACCGCACGTGAAAAATGAAATGCAAACAACGACCGAGCACAAATATATATTCAATCGGGATTTCTTTGCCAAGCGCGGCCGCGTGACACATCAAACTGAACAACCTTTGTTCTCGCTTTGTTCTTTTGTGACACCGCGACCAAGCTAGAATGCAGAATTTCAAAGTTCAAAGTGAACCTTCCACCTTTTCTATAATAAATTTGCAACATTTTTAAAGTGTATTGAGCTGTTTTAGCTTTCAATTCAAAAGTTCACTGCTTCTGATAGTTCTGATTGCCATTTTTTAAATTTTCATTAAAATTTAAACTGCCAAAATCTTACAGAAAAATGAAGATTTTATTTAAAAAAAGGTGCAGATTAAAAGTTATAGAAATTTGAAACAAAAATAAATACGATTTTCAACTTTTCTATCAATCGTCTATATTTTTTCCAGTAGCAGTAAATTTTCAAAATTTCAATGGCTGATCTCCAGAATTTTAAAGAAATGGACTCCTTACAAAAATACATTTTTCCTTTAGTGCATAATTTTGAAAACAAATTTTTATTCGGTCTAAATCCATAAATTTCAAACCTTCACCACTAAACACAGACGAATCAATTGACTTATTATGGAAATGCACAAAATTTATTTTTAGACTAATTTTAGTTACAAAATTAATGTGAAATTTCATTTTCTCGCCAAACTTTTTCTCCACTGGATTATTTTTAGCGAGAATGTGTAGTCTACAAATTTTGCAACGCGAAAATAATGGAATATTCAAGAAAATCCTGTTATTAATGAAGAAACTAATGCGAAATAAATAAATCCTCTCTTATGTTCAATCAAAAGTAAATTTCAATTTAAAAAAAATTAATATTGAAAGAGGCTTAGTAATTTGCTGAGCTTCACTTTGAGCAGAAATTCTCAGTTCAAGATTAATTAATTAATTTTCTGAATGTCACACGCGCGCGCAGAAACGTCCCATTGTTGCAAATTGGTTTTGCAACATTCTGCACGCTCGCAGAATTGCGAATTACTCGACCCTGCCAGTGTGTGTAGGTGGAGGATTTGATTAGTGCCGTCGCAATGCATCCGATAATTGAGCAAATCAGTTTTCGCGTGGAGGCGTGTTCAGTGCTAGTGACAGGGCACGTTGAAATGAATAAATTCCGCTCTCACCTGACATGTTGAGACGCAACTCGCCCTCCCAGTACTCGCCGACCTTCAACCACCGGAACACGCCGGGGCTCACTTGCTTGAAGTGGATTATGTTGTAGCGCGCTGGACCGTCGCCTTGCGGGTCAAACCGGAAGTTGTCGCCACTCAGACCTGCACAAAACAAACAAAAGTTTGCATCACAATAAAAAAACATGTCCCTTTAAATATTAAAATAGTCACTTCAATTCTATATTTTTTTTTTAGTTTTTGGTAGAAATTTGTTATGAAATGATCTAAATCGAAGACAAAGTTATTGTGGGAAGTTTCAATGCATATTTCACTTTTCTTTTGAAATTTAAATTTAGAAAATCCAATTGTTTTTGTAAAATAAAAGAAAAATTAGCCTCATTTCCAGCCTGAGTTTTGTGTTTCAACCTGACATTTTCCACAATTTATGTCCAGCAGCTGCTACTTCTCATTTCTGTCACCCACTCGGTGCTATTGTTGGAATAAAGTAACACCCTCAGCCCTCAGCACAGTTGTGTGTAAAATGATTGAGGCACTCGCTTGCCACGCTGAAGCTTAACGACTGCTCTCGGTACTCCTACACTCGCAAAAAGTAATATGTATGTTGCCTTCACTGCCCACATTGAATTCAACGTCAACAGGCTTTTCAGCCAAACAGGAAAAACAACATTTTATTACGCAACTGATTGTGTTACTTCCAAGTAATTTCAGCAAATTAATTGCTGCAGAGGCGTTTTGTTCATTAATCGGAAATAAGCGGATTTTTAATAAAATCTTTTCCTCTCCTAATTATTTCTCTGAATTATACAAAAATCAAAACGGAATTGTAAATTTGGAAAAAGAGCATTAATAATGAGTCAATTTAAATTTTATTTCAAGCAGATTTGATGCACCAACTATCCTATGATTGGTCGTTGTTGATTTATTGTTCTCACCGGTCGCACTTCATCACGCAGCTGCGCAAATATTTGCGTTTGATTGATAATGACCGAGTAATGGGGACGCGTGTTTGGTGGTAAATCGCGCGAGTGACATTCATGCATAATGAGCAAACGCATTGTTTGTCATTGTGAATTAAACTGCGGTGGACTTTCAATTAATTACGACGCGTTCAATTCAGCTCGGTCGATTTGCCAATTAATAGATTCTGGGAAACGTTCGCAGCTTGAAATTCCAATTTGGCAGGTTGGATGGAATGGTTAATTAGCCGGATTTTGAGAAACTGCGGAGGAATTTCAAAGTAGCGGAATCCAAGTAATTTCCTCCGATTTTCTGATTTTCATTAAAAGAGAAACTTTCATCGGTTAGATTTAAAAGTACATCTTTATTTGAAAAGAAGCTTTGAATGTCCTCGTCAGACACGGCTGCCAAGAAAATGCAAAAGATGCGGAAAGAAAGAAATAAAGTTTGCTCATCTAAACTTTCTTTTTTGCCGCACCAACTTTGAACACGTGTGCATTTAGATAGACATCTGGGCAACTCGTGGGAAATGAAAAAGAGACTGAACTAGAGTAGAGAAGCACAGCAGTTCTGCAATTACCGGAGATTTTCCTAGAAAATTGCCACACGCTTCTGGAACAAAATAAAAACTTATGAAACCGCAGCTCATAATATAAATGAGGCTTCCTACAAAATTAATTGAAAAAACATTCTCATCCTGATAAATCAGCTGTAATTGAAAAAGCGTGAAATGTGGATTTGCATTTAAATTTTCATTCAAGTCATCAAAATAATCTAAACAAATGAATATTACTTTTTTATGAAAAGAGCCAAAAAAGGTAGTTTTAATTAACAATGGAACTATTCGCAAGTCTCAAAGAGTAATTATTCTGTTGTTAATTTATTTTTGGTTTTCCTATACTTTGTAATTTCTAGTGTAAATGTGTGTCGCGTTTCCGTTGTTAAGTTTATTCCAGTTTCCGTTTCAATTTTCCAAAAGGAATTTAACGCGGATTAAGAAGCTGAGCAAGAAAATCAATGCTGTGAAAACAAACAAAAATGTCCAAATTTCAACTTTTGATTGGAAATCTTAATTTTCTTTTTAAACAGATTAAGATTTCTGTTACCAAAATACTATTTTTTTCCACTTAAAACTTATCAACCAGGACAATGTTTTAAATTGAAATTATTTTGGAAGCAAAAATCCTAATCAGTCGACAAGAAATTAAGATTTTCAGTTTAAAGTTGAAAATTTAAACATAATTATTCCGTTTTCAATTTAAACATAATTATTGGTTTTCCGAGCATTGGTTTCCTCGCTAACTTCTTTCGGAAAATTAATTATTCTGTGATTTCTTTCACAATAAATTAAATTAAATTAAATTAAATTAAATTGAATATTCTAAAATGAACGAGGATCAACTTGCCTAATTGAGCTGATTGTGAGAGAAACTGAGTTCATTTTACAACGCTTTTTACAATTTCATTCTACATAGTCAGAGTTTTTAATTTTATGCAACCCGCATTGTGCAAGTGTTGGCCAGGTTGCCTATCGTGCCCGTTGCAGGCGTTCACAGTCGCTCGAATATTGCCTTTTGTGGTCGGACAAAAAGTAGAATTAAACGGACTTGGCTGATCAATATTTGTGCGATCAACAAGAACGGTTGATACACTCGGAATAAATAGGTTTTGGTGACGGTGATGAATGGGTGTGACCTCGAGCCAGGGCTTGCCTGCTCGTTTAATTATCTGCCGGTGACGCGCGCGGACTGCCGGGTGGGTCAAAAGGAAGCGAAAAAAGCTGCTGTCGAGTTCAAGAGGCTGCCAGACTTCTTGCCATTCATTCCCTCTAATTAGCAAGACGTGTTTCGTAATAATTATCAACGGGCCAAGTTTCTGCTGACAGACACGGAAAAACAGGCTCTGAGAATCAATTTAAACTTCTTTAACGAAATAAAAGTAAATTGTAAATTAATATATAATTGAGTCATAAGGAAAAAAGGAGATAATTATCAATTTTAATAAATATTTTAACGAATACCTTAAAAATTTAAAATTTTTGGTGCAATGCAATGAAGGGGAAAATATTGAGCCATTACAATTATCTTAATTTTATTAGCTTTCAAAACTAAATTTTATTATCTTTTATTTAGAATGGGAAATATCATTGAAAACCTTTTGAATTTAATTGATGGATGGATATTTCCATTATTTCAGGACACAACTTTTGACGTTACATCCATAAGAACGTCATTATTCTCAAGTTATAAGGAAATACAGTTCGGAGAAGCTGAAAAATATTGTTTTATACTTTCAAAGCTCTCAAGCAATTAGAATTTAACGTGGCCGTTGAGTAAAAATCACTCATAAATTCGGTGAAATTACTCTCGATTACAAGCTAATTTAATTGATCGCTCCTGAAAATTTGCATTAATGCGGCCATAAAACGTTTCAGGCTTTTAGGTGCGAGTTATGGCTCGTTTTACGGCCGCCCCCGCTTTTTTACTTTTTCCCTTTACAAGGATGGCTGCACGTACCTTCAAACTCCACTTTGCGCAAGTATCGCAGCAAGTCGGTGCCTTTGGTGGGCTTCATCGCGTCGCACAGACCCGGCTTGCTGTGACAGACGTCTCGATGCATGTCTCTGCAACAAAGGAGGAACCGAATTCGGCTGAAACTTTGTCTTTGAACGGATATTATGGTAATGCGTGCGTAAGGCGAAATTGCTTTTATCGAATTTTCTTTGAGCCTCATCCTTGAACGAGGCTTCCTTGTAGTACAACTTCCGTGTTTCTACGCAAGCAAGGAAACATTTTCTTGGAAAGGCAGAATTTAATATTAATCTTCGCTACACACGTATCAGTTTTCAATCATTTTTGTCCCAATAGGGAAAACCTTGCAAAATAATACCGTTGTAGTTTACATTTTCCTCTTATTCAATTTAATGAAATATACAATATTTTCAAACGGCATGATAACGTTTGAGATCAGATTTAATGAAATTGCAAATATTGCGAGCTTTGATATTTGTGTAGGATGCACAATAAGGAAAAGGGAAACGTAAACAAAATTTCAAATATTTTGAACAAACGCGGAAAAGGAAACAATTTAGATTACCTAATGGATAGGCAAACATTTTAAAAACTAACTATTAAATTGAACAGCAAAATGAAAGAATAATAATTAAAATAAATTGAATTCTAACACTCGAGGTGGATTTCATTAAAATTGAATCAGGGCAAACTTTTGTGCAAGCCAGATTTCTATTGAAAATAATTGCAATTTAATGTTTAACTATTAACTAATAAAAATTAAAAACAATTGTATATTTTGTTTTTCAATTTTTAATGTAAAAACATTAAAAAAATATATATATTATAAAATTGAATTTAGAATAAACTGATCATTTGAAAATTTTAAAATTATACTTCAATATTAAATATTTTACTTTTAAACAGGTTACTCTCCACATACTATCTCCATATCTAACTAATACTAATATAATTATGAAGAATACGTAAATAATTTCTCAACTTTAATTTACTAGAACAATGCTTTTTGTAAAAATAATATAATTATACTTCTAACTGCCATAAAAAAACAAAAGTTACATGTCGGTCTTGCTAAGTTTCTTTGACACAGATTATGCAAATTTAATAATTCTATCATGTAACATAATCAAAGTTTTCTACTGAAACATTTAAAATGCAATTAATTTTCTATAAGAAATATCTCTCTAAAAAGCACAATGAAATTAATTGCGGTTTTCACCGGCACGTGTACTTGAAAGTTTTCTTTCAAAGCGCAATATAGGTCGCAATTGTACGCAGTGTGTGCGGAAGAGAGAGAAATAGTTGGCAAAGTTAATAACATGTTCATCAGTGGCAGGCGCAACTATGCCAATTCGTGTCGATTTCTTTGTCTGGCAACTTGGCCAAAGTCGGCGCCCACAAAGCAGAAATTTCTCTGAGCAAACTTGTCGGCCAACTATTCCACTATACCTGCAACTTTGGGCTGACGGCGGACGCAAACAATTTAAGGCGAAGGTGTGAGATATTAATTTTGATTGCGTGTGTCGGAGGCCACGGCATCAATCTGGCTCTCCGCAAAAATTACGCGCCGCAACACCAAAGGTCTGATGAAAAATGACTTTGCGGCTTCTAATTTGCGCCGAGATGCCTCCCCAGATGAATATTAACTGGCCCCAGTCAAAAGTGTTTGCGTAAATTTTCACACATATTGAGCGAAAGGAAAATTTCAAGAGCAATATTTTCAACTTTAATATTCATCAGAATTGGTTAATATAAAAAAATAACAATGAAATTTCTCTATCTTTTAATATCTTTTAACAAAAGTTTTCTCGTTTTCGTGAAAGCATTGCGAGTTTCTTTTTTTTTAACAAATAAGCCTCGGATTTTGTGTTGCGGGAAAAATGTGTGGGGCTCACCTGAGGGCGTGCGCGAACGCCATGACAGCGTCGCTGACGAACTGCAGCTGTCCCTCGAAGGCCATGTTTTCTTTCGTCAGCTTCTCCTGGCCCGAGCACATTTTGGTGAAGTGCTGGTTGTACGGGGTCCGTGACGAGTTGGGGTAGCGGCACTGGAAGTGCGCCTCCCAGAATTCTGCAACGTAGACAGGCCGTGCGTGAGGAGCTCATTCAAATCAAAGCGCACACAATGCCACCCCAAACACAATGAACGCGGCCGACTGTGCCGAGTGCGTGTGTCACACACGAGACGTGTTTCGTCGCTTTTATTTATTTCCCACGGGCGACAAAATGAAAATCGCACGCGACACCTGCACCAATTCAACGCCCGATTCAGTGAAAAACATTCAGAGAAAAAGGTTTCATCTGAAATTAAAACCGGCACCGGTCGATGAAAAACAGGTCCCTCAAAAAATATGTTATAACATAAAAATTGCTAAAACCAATTTTTTTTCTCAATAATTTAATTCCCATAAGGGCATTTCCACGAAGACCATCAGGGCCGTTGGAAGATATTTATTCAAGAAACCGATCATTTTGAGTTAACATATATGTTAAAGACTTGAAGAAAGAAATTAATTATTAATATATTTTTACAACATTTTGAGGGCGACCCAAAACCTAATCTGGCCCAGGCTAACCTGACTTAGCCCACCAGCAAAATTAAATGGTGGGTTTAAGCCTAGGCCAGGTTAATTTAGCATGGGCAAAATAAGCCAGCCTCAACACTTAATTTTCTGGCACAAATGTCGAGTTTTTTGCTTCACCATTTATATTGCGGAAATTACCTTTAATCAAAAATTGAGCAAAAAACCATATCATCGAATTTAATTTTATGCCACAATTGCTCAGTTATTTTGCTTCGCTCTAATAAATTGAATATCACTGCATTTTTTTAAAAACTGAGACAATAGCAAAATTGTTGCTCGTACCACATTATTATCTAGAAAAAAAAATTTAAAATTAAATGAAAGAGACGCCTCAACACTAAATGTTGCTTGGTGGTAGCTCAGTTTTTTTGCTTCGCTCTTATAAAGCAGGGAATCTGGTATTTTTGATTAACTTAAGAACTCGGCCAAATCGTTGCTCGAAGCACGAAGCACTTTGAAATCTAGAAAAATAGCTTTAAAATTAAATGAAAGAGAGGCCTCAACACTTAATGTTGCTTGGTGCGAGCACAGTTTTTTTGCTTCGCTCCTATAAAGCAGGGAATCTGGTAACTTTAATAAATTTAAGAACTCGGCCAAATCGTTGCTCGAAGCACGAAGCACTTTGAAATCTAGAAAAATAGCTTTAAAATTAAATGAAAGAGACGCCTCAACACTTAATGTTTCTTGGTGCGAGCACAGTTTTTTTGCTTCGCTCCTATAAAGCAGGGAATCTGGTAATTTTAATAAATTTAAGAAATCGGCCAAATCGTTGCTCGAAGCACGAAGCACTTTGAAATCTAGAAAAATAGCTTTAAAATTAAATGAAAGAGACGCCTCAACACTTAATGTTGCTTGGTGCGAGCTCAGTTTTTTTGCTTCGCTCTTATAAAGCAGGGAATCTGGTATTTTTGATTAACTTAAGAACTCGGCCAAATCGTTGCTCGAAGCACGAAGCACTTTGAAATCTAGAAAAATAGCTTTAAAATTAAATGAAAGAGACGCCTCAACACTTAATGTTGCTTGGTGCGAGCTCAGTTTTTTTGCTTCGCTCTTGTAAAGCACGGAATCTGGTAATTTTAATAAATTTAAGAAATCGGCCAAATCGTTGCTCGAAGCACGAAGCACTTTGAAATCTAGAAAAATAGCTTTAAAATTAAATGAAAGAGACGCCTCAAAACTTAATGTTGCTTGGTGCGAGCTCAGTTTTTTTGCTTCGCTCTTGTAAAGCACGGAATCTGGTAATTTTAATAAATTTAAGAAATCGGCCAAATCGTTGCTCGAAGCACGAAGCACTTTGAAATCTAGAAAAATAGCTTTAAAATTAAATGAAAGAGACGCCTCAACACTTAATGTTGCTTGGTGCGAGCACAGTTTTTTTGCTTCGCTCTTGTAAAGCACGGAATCTGGTAATTTTAATAAATTTAAGAAATCGGCCAAATCGTTGCTCGAAGCACGAAGCACTTTGAAATCTAGAAAAATAGCTTTAAAATTAAATGAAAGAGACGCCTCAACACTTAATGTTGCTTGGTGCGAGCTCAGTTTTTTTGCTTCGCTCTTGTAAAGCACGGAATCTGGTAATTTTAATAAATTTAAGAAATCGGCCAAATCGTTGCTCGAAGCACGAAGCACTTTGAAATCTAGAAAAATAGCTTTAAAATTAAATGAAAGAGACGCCTCAACACTTAATGTTGCTTGGTGCGAGCTCAGTTTTTTTGCTTCGCTCTTGTAAAGCACGGAATCTGGTAATTTTAATAAATTTAAGAAATCGGCCAAATCGTTGCTCGAAGCACGAAGCACTTTGAAATCTAGAAAAATAGCTTTAAAATTAAATGAAAGAGACGCCTCAACACTTAATGTTGCTTGGTGCGAGCTCAGTTTTTTTGCTTCGCTCCTATAAAGCAGGGAATCTGGTATTTTTGATTAACTTGAGAACTCGGCCAAATCGTTGCTCGAAGCACGAAGCACTTTGAAATCTAGAAAAATAGCTTTAAAATTAAATGATAGAGACGCCTCAACACTTAATGTTGCTTGGTGCGAGCACAGTTTTTTTGCTTCGCTCCTATAAAGCAGGGAATCTGGTAATTTTAATAAATTTAAGAAATCGGCCAAATCGTTGCTCGAAGCACGAAGCACTTTGAAATCTAGAAAAATAGCTTTAAAATTAAATCAAAGAGACGCCTCAAAACTTAATGTTGCTTGGTGCGAGCACAGTTTTTTTGCTTCGCTCTTGTAAAGCACGGAATCTGGTATTTTTGATTAACTTAAGAACTCGGCCAAATCGTTGCTCGAAGCACGAAGCACTTTGAAATCTAGAAAAATAGCTTTAAAATTAAATGAAAGAGACGCCTCAAAACTTAATGTTGCTTGGTGCGAGCTCAGTTTTTTTGCTTCGCTCTTGTAAAGCACGGAATCTGGTATTTTTGATTAACTTAAGAACTCGGCCAAATCGTTGCTCGAAGCACGAAGCACTTTGAAATCTAGAAAAATAGCTTTAAAATTAAATGAAAGAGACGCCTCAAAACTTAATGTTGCTTGGTGCGAGCTCAGTTTTTTTGCTTCGCTCCTATAAAGCAGGGAATCTGGTAATTTTAATAAATTTAAGAAATCGGCCAAATCGTTGCTCGAAGCACGAAGCACTTTGAAATCTAGAAAAATAGCTTTAAAATTAAATGAAAGAGACGCCTCAACACTTAATGTTGCTTGGTGCGAGCTCAGTTTTTTTGCTTCGCTCTTGTAAAGCACGGAATCTGGTAATTTTAATAAATTTAAGAAATCGGCCAAATCGTTGCTCGAAGCACGAAGCACTTTGAAATCTAGAAAAATAGCTTTAAAATTAAATGAAAGAGACGCCTCAACACTTAATGTTGCTTGGTGCGAGCTCAGTTTTTTTGCTTCGCTCTTGTAAAGCACGGAATCTGGTAATTTTAATAAATATAAGAAATCGGCCAAATCGTTGCTCGAAGCACGAAGCACTTTGAAATCTAGAAAAATAGCTTTAAAATTAAATGAAAGAGACGCCTCAACACTTAATGTTGCTTGGTGCGAGCTCAGTTTTTTTGCTTCGCTCTTGTAAAGCAGGGAATCTGGTAATTTTAATAAATTTAAGAAATCGGCCGAATCGTTGCTCGAAGCACGAAGCACTTTGAAATCTAGAAAAATAGCTTTAAAATTAAATGAAAGAGACGCCTCAACACTTAATGTTGCTTGGTGCGAGCTCAGTTTTTTTGCTTCGCTCTTGTAAAGCACGGAATCTGGTAATTTTAATAAATTTAAGAAATCGGCCAAATCGTTGCTCGAAGCACGAAGCACTTTGAAATCTAGAAAAATAGCTTTAAAATTAAATGAAAGAGACGCCTCAACACTTAATGTTGCTTGGTGCGAGCTCAGTTTTTTTGCTTCGCTCTTGTAAAGCACGGAATCTGGTAATTTTAATAAATATAAGAAATCGGCCAAATCGTTGCTCGAAGCACGAAGCACTTTGAAATCTAGAAAAATAGCTTTAAAATTAAATGAAAGAGACGCCTCAACACTTAATGTTGCTTGGTGCGAGCTCAGTTTTTTTGCTTCGCTCTTGTAAAGCAGGGAATCTGGTAATTTTAATAAATTTAAGAAATCGGCCGAATCGTTGCTCGAAGCACGAAGCACTTTGAAATCTAGAAAAATAGCTTTAAAATTAAATGAAAGAGACGCCTCAACACTTAATGTTGCTTGGTGCGAGCTCAGTTTTTTTGCTTCGCTCTTGTAAAGCACGGAATCTGGTAATTTTAATAAATTTAAGAAATCGGCCAAATCGTTGCTCGAAGCACGAAGCACTTTGAAATCTAGAAAAATAGCTTTAAAATTAAATGAAAGAGACGCCTCAACACTTAATGTTGCTTGGTGCGAGCTCAGTTTTTTTGCTTCGCTCTTGTAAAGCACGGAATCTGGTAATTTTAATAAATTTAAGAAATCGGCCAAATCGTTGCTCGAAGCACGAAGCACTTTGAAATCTAGAAAAATAGCTTTAAAATTAAATGATAGAGACGCCTCAACACTTAATGTTGCTTGGTGCGAGCACAGTTTTTTTGCTTCGCTCCTATAAAGCAGGGAATCTGGTAATTTTAATAAATTTAAGAAATCGGCCAAATCGTTGCTCGAAGCACGAAGCACTTTGAAATCTAGAAAAATAGCTTTAAAATTAAATCAAAGAGACGCCTCAAAACTTAATGTTGCTTGGTGCGAGCACAGTTTTTTTGCTTCGCTCTTGTAAAGCACGGAATCTGGTATTTTTGATTAACTTAAGAACTCGGCCAAATCGTTGCTCGAAGCACGAAGCACTTTGAAATCTAGAAAAATAGCTTTAAAATTAAATGAAAGAGACGCCTCAAAACTTAATGTTGCTTGGTGCGAGCTCAGTTTTTTTGCTTCGCTCTTGTAAAGCACGGAATCTGGTATTTTTGATTAACTTAAGAACTCGGCCAAATCGTTGCTCGAAGCACGAAGCACT